GGCAATTCTATGAATTGCTGGCACATAAGGAGACTGTCTTCCCTCAGAAATCCCCCTTCATGTTCCTAGCAAACACAGTCCCACTACATCTCAGCAAGCAGGGAGACCAATGCTCCAAGGCCTGAAGGGCCAGACTCTGCACCAACTCCACCAGGAGTGCAGGACCCGGCGTGCAGGAGCGGCACTGGCACTGTGGCACCATGTACTGCACTGGCTGTGGCTTCAGGTAGGTGCTAACAGGGCAATCCAAGGAGGATGCAGTGTTGGTGATTTAATCTGAGGAGAATGCTGAGCTTGAAAAGTCATCATCCCCAAATTTTTATTACTTACTGCTGTCCCAGATTTTGTTTTCAAGCATAAGCACCCAAGCTCTGCTTTGAGCCTACTAGCAGCTGTGTAGCTCCAACAGTGCAAGGTGGGTTTTAAACCAGTGCAGGCTACTTCTCAACAGGGCTGATTAATGCAGGGTCACTGCTGAAATAGCCACCATCATGTGGCTTCCGGTTGACTAGGGGAACTGACAAAACTGTTTGCAGGAAAAAAATCTGCCTGGGAAAGTTTAAAAGGAGAGGCAAAAATATGGTAACCTATATGTGAACTCAGATGTGCCATGCTGTGAACTCAAAATACATTCCAGAGCTAGGGAGAGCTTGGCTGGAGTTTGTGAGCTCCTGGGAACAAACCTTGCTGCAGGTTTGAATGTCTGTTCTGTATCTTTACAGCAAAACCAGGAAAGATCTGCCAGACTGTTTGGGTTAGCCCTGAGTTTTTTTGCTCAGCTGAGCCTGGAACTCACAAGTTACCTCAGGGGAACTAAACGTGCTGGAATTAGCCACAGCCCTAAAATCAAAGACCTTCCATCTAATCCTGCCTTGACCACTCTTGTGAAATTCAATTACAGTAATTATTTTTTTAAAGCTACTGAAAATGAGGACAATAGTCCTAACACAGTGTCACAGAAGAACCACTCAGGTGCTGGGGAATAAATGCGTCAATGAGATCAAAGGCAAACTCTAGGAAGAAAAAAAAAAGCACCTTGGCAAATGAGGGCCTGTAATATATCACCATCCTTCTTTTTATGCTGAACCATATAACGGTTGCCTGAAAAATCTTATATACCTGTCCATAACCATGTCTCTCCAGATGAAAGGCTATTTCCAGAGGAAAAAGATATGAGCAGTCTGAGAAAAAGTTCTAAAATGTTCCTGTCTCATCACCTTCCCTGAAAACTACAGCATCTCCTGTACTAAATCTCCATCCCTCTTTGAACTTTCCTCTCTGCTGGAGATAAAAAACATAAAACAAAGATGAGGTGTGAAGGGATCTCCAGTCTCCTCATCACTGTCTGGCATAGCAAAAACTCAGCTTACAGTCACATATCTGAGCTCAAGATCAGTGCATGCAGGTAGCTGTGACTATGTGTCAAAGCCTGTGTTCCGAATTTCCCAACATCCTTTCCTCAAAAGCCTCAGGCAACTAAAGATCATGTGGAAAAGAGGGAGGCAGAGAGGCAGCTACACAGATGCCGCAATGCTCAGCTGTGAGTTTTCTGCAGGGGATACTGTCTGGAGCAGGGAATGCCACTGGAGATGGACAATTACCTCTTCTAAAGCTACTAAGGACTGAGATGTGGGGCAACTTTCAGAGGAAGGGGTGACACTGCCAGTGCTGAGATCCCAACCTTAGGAGCTGGTCGGAGTAGAAGAACTGGGCAAAAAGAACTGCTGTTCAGTTTAGGCCACAGATGTGTTTGTATTTGCTTGCTTTTGATCTTTTCTTACAGCCCTGTAATTAGAAGACTGAGCTTAGAATATATTGAAATCATCCCTCACACAGATTTGCTCTCCAGCATGTTTTCATTAAATTGGAACCTGGGCACTACTATGCCGGGTTGAGGTGTCTTTGCAGAAGCAGCAAGGCTTCATCAGCAAACTTCTTATTGCAACTTGGGTAGGGACGGCATTTGCTCCAGGGCCAATGTGGGGAGGACTGGCATCGCAGGCAAAGCCTGCACCCTTTTCTGCTAAGCAGCCTCTTCTCCCAGGAGAAGCACCTCATAGCTGGGGGAAAACCTCAGCTTTGATGCCAACACCCTCATTTTATCAGTGGGAGAGGGTTACGGTTGGGCCCCAGATCCCCTCAGAGCCGTGTGGATGTGTGTTTAAGAAGAATTATTGGGTCTCTCACAGCATTGTTTATCAAAGGACTGAGCCTTGGGAGCTCAGCTGTATTTATGCAGCAGCCAAGGGAAGCAGCGTTCTCACTTGCCTAGGCAAGCAAGGAAACAGCCATAGAGGAAAAGGTCCTTCGCATCCTTGTGCAGATTCAGTCAAAGTTTCCTTTTCTGTGAAGCTGCCCTTTTTCTTGGAAAATAGTACATTGCTCTGATTTCATGTTCACAACTGAGTAGGAGGTTACTGATGACTTTCTGAAGGAATTCATTCTCAAACACTTTTCCACTTCCTCTAGTTCTACCAGCTGCTCTCATAAAAGCCTTTACTCATATTTCCACTTTTATCCTTACTTTCCTTGGACCCTGAGAGTTTCATGGCCACACTACCAATAGGACAGTGAACAGGTGTTCTCTCCCTATGTGTTTCATGCCATGCTGAATACAAGGGGCTGAGTCCCAGCCCCTGGATCCAGAGTTTGATCCAGAATGGCAAATACAGGTGGGGGTGAATATTCTTTTCTGTTCCTTTGTTGGGGGGGGAGGTGTTTGTTTGTTGTTGCTGTGTAGGCTATCTTTCTTTATCAAATAGGAAAAGTGCTATCTTTGTAGTTGGCCAAGAATCACAAAGAAGGAGTCTAAGCATAGTCTTGGCAACCCAAACCCCACCACTGCCATCTTTGTATGAGGCAGTGTGATGAAGCAGCAACCTGTTTTTTTTGATGATCTGGTTGTGCTCTATTGACAGAATCTGAGATTAGACCTTCCTGGTCAAGCTCAGACATATGGCAAATCTAATTGGAAAATTCATCTTGTTGATAGATCATCATAACACTACTTGTCTCTCTAAAACAGATGGAGGAGAGAAACAAGCATATGAAAACATAACCTCCTGTACATCTGCACCAGGGTGTGGAACTCAGGACAGAGTCCACTTTGTGCAAATGGACCAACAGGAATGTTTGAATGAAGAGAATAAACCATGCTGACAGTTTCCGAGCTTAATACAAAGCAATGCAACAAAACATTTAACCAAACTCAGGCAGGAAAAAGGTCTTGTGGTCCACAGTAGGGAAAATTAATATGTTACCTCATGATAGGTGCTTTTTGAGGTCAGACAGCACACCCAGAAAGGAACAGTGAAATGGATTCTTAATAACAAGTGAAAAAGAAACTCATCCATCACCATCCATATTTCTATAATAAATCAGTTTTTAAATGCAACTTGTCTAAATAACCAACAGTGATTGATGACCACACTTTATGCAGAAGAAGAATTAACCATTCAGACTACCTGTGCTGCCAGTTTTAATCCTGTTCTTGGTTAACATTTCTCTTTGTATTTCTCACAAATATGTATTGCATGCAGTGGAATACTAAGTTTCTTGAGCCATTTTTTTCAGAGGGATCCTAGTCTTTGTCATTGTGCGTTGGCATACAATCCATCTGCACTTAACAGTATGTACATACAAAATTGGCCCACGCTCCATTTTGTTCATGTACTTGGAATTACACATGCTCAGCCTCAAATACACAGTAATCACAGATGACATAGGTGAGATGATCACGTCTGTGCTGAATTAAGTCTGCTTGAGACACATCTGCAAAAAATGTGAGCAAGTAAATTCTAAAATCTGTGTGATTGAAAGTCATTCTTGAGAATAAAATAGATATCTGAACTTTTCATTTTGATATTTTTTCTACAGCCATGCACAGGGCTTTTCCATCTATTGGTAGTGCCATTTCCTTCAGAAAACAAAAATATTCTTATCCACAATAGAAATATTTCTTTCCAGCTGTCCTGTCCTAGGTATAGTTATATTAGTGATATCACTTCCAATTTTTCTATTGTGTGAAAAAATCCTCAGTGACTCCCTAAAACCAAGGACTCCATCTGTGTATCAGCTCTGTTCTCCAAGAGAATACTCCAAGACACAATGGAGTAAGGAGCCTGACCTGCAGAACAGAAGGTAACATGAAGTATGCAAACTGGAACTTCAGGATAGACCATTTCAGAATTACAGTTTTTCCCAGGTTTGAGTCTTCCCTGAGTCAGGCCAGAAATTTCAACACTCTCATATCCCTGCTGAATTATCTTGGCTTCAAGGTCATTTTGGCTACACAAACTATAATTCTCCTTTACTAAATAAAAAACTCTGGGGTTTTGGGTTTTATTTTGTTGGGGGATTTGTGTGTGTGTGTGTGTGTGTTCCAAACTGTGACAGAAACAGATCTCAAAACCTCAGAATTTCCCCCAAACTGATAGGTCAATGTACTTCTAGGAAATATCTTTCCTGGCCAACTGTACACCTGAACTACCTACATAGAGTAGCCAGCCAAAATATGCCTGAAGGAAAAGACATAAACATATCCTCAAAGACTCTGTTTGCCTCCACTGACCACAGAAATACAATTTTTTTATACTCTCTCCTAAATGATGGCACCAGGCTATTCTCATTTTGTATTAACGGCTGTTAAAAATGTGAAGCAAAGAGTGGGGTTTGAGATTTTCAGTGTGTTTGTATATAGAAGCACAGCCAAAAAATCAAGAGAAGCAGGGTATTTAGTATGGTACTTTTAGTTCTCCTACAGCAGGGAACACACATTCATCTGAAAATAATGTGACACCTTCTCCTTCTCTGAGTTTCTCCTTCAGATTTGGTAATAAGCACCACAAGCAGCCCCAGGTGCTGTCTCCACACTGGCCCAGAGAGTGTCTCTACCAGCTTTGCCATAAATCAGATGTAACCTTCCTACATCTGTAAAATCAAATCAGAATATCACACTACATTTGCTGGATAGAGAAAATTAATCTTTACTTGGTTTTGGGTTTTTTTTTAACTGGGTTCAGTCACCTATCAATTATTTGGGATCTAGAGCAGAGACACTCCTAAATATGTTGAGGTGCAATTCCTGCTTTCATATATAATGCTGTAATACTGAAGCAATTCCTCTGCCTCCAGAGTAGCACTCACTTTATAACAAACAACCCTTGGTCTACGTCTGTGTTACTGAGAGGTTAGTTTTCAAGGGCAAAGCACCTCAACTGTGTTCTCACAGGACAGTCCCTATCAGTGGAAAAGCTTTAGGACAGATACATGTAAAAGTCAGCGACAGTGGACAACTGGGTAAGCACCCTGCAGCAGGTCTTCCCAGATGCCTTACAGACTGAGGCTGTGAAAAAGAAGTTGTGGGAAAAGGTATTTCATAAGAAAGACCTACAGTTAGTAAATCAAATAGTTCTACTGCAAGCACAGAGTAATTTGGCAAAGACAAATTTTCTGTTCTCTTTTCTCATATTGATACTATTCACCAGCACAGCTGAACCTCTGACACTGTTTCTCTTTCATACATCCAAAGTAAGTCTGAAAAATCATAATTTATTATTAACTAATAAGTTTATTTTTGATTCAAGGAATGGAATTTCACAGTTAAGGATGCTAAAAATCTTTTGTATCTGCAGCCTCATTCATTCCTCTCAAGCTCCTTCATCGCGCACCCTTAATGTGGCTTCCTGAGCTCTGTGCAGTGGTGCTGAGGCTGGCTTGCCAATCCTCACTGCTCCATGTTGACCCTGATAATCTGGCGGATGTTGCTTTTACCAGGCTCTGGAGAATTTTCTGCAGATGGACTGCACAAGCAACAGCGAGACTTCAGTCAACTGGGCGTCGAAGCTCTTGGCGACTGCAGAGTTTGACACCTCGATGAACACCAGGGTGATGAAACGGAGAATGAAGATGCTAGGAGAGAATAGGTACTCTTCAGTGAGAGAACACACTGACCCACCGCGAGCTTGGATATTACGGTTCAAACATCCCTTGAAATTTATCATGAAACAAATAACTCCATGACTATATTAACAGAGTAGCAGTCCTGTGTAAAGGTGCTTTTCACTACTGTCCTTTCTGCTTTCATGCCCATGAGTTCAAACCAGTCTGCTTTTTAGGTATTTTTAAGTATTCTCATTTTCTAAGCTTGTAGCTGTTGTTATTCACAGGCCAGCCTTTGTTCTTACTCTTCCTCTGCCGGGGACAGGGCCAGGCTATATGGACCTTTGTCTGTCCAGTACAACCAGGCTTGTCTTCTCTGGTTTTCTATTTGTGTCACTGAAAAGTCACTTTTTATAGTCATATTAAATGAGACGACCAACTACCAGGCACCCTCCTGGCACAGAACAATGACAATCATAACCAGACGCTGGATGAAAAATGAAAGAGAATAAAATAGGAAGAAACAAAGTAAAGCAAAAGTGTTTACTCTCTTCTGCTTCATATATTTCTTTAGGGGGATTTTTTGGTTTCCACTTGTGTAGTAGAAAACAAAACTGTGGGAGGCATCTGAAAAATAAAGATATGATATACATGGTGAGGAAGCAAGAGCACAGACTGGGTACATAAAGAGTACAAGATTTGAGTAGGATTAGTTTTAGGAGTGACAGTCATCCACAGCTACCACTGAAACTCTGAAGATGTGTTTTAAAAATCAAAAGTGTCTTTGAAAATTCTCTTATAAATGCACATTGCCAGCACTTAGACATACAAAAGGAGCATTCTGACTCTTCTTCAGCATCCTAAGAGACAGGAATCTGGAGTTCACCTGTGTGAGGGTCAGGAAATTTCTTGACTGTATCCTATCTGTCTGCAGTACAAAACCATTGCCAGACTGATATGCTGAAAGGTATCACGACTATACTGTTTCCCTGAGTAAAATGAAAAATGCACTGTTAAATGACTGCTCCCATCACATACAAATCACAAACTGTTTATTTTCTTTTCCTGGTGCACATGCTTTCTATGTATCTTCCCAAGATGTTGAAATAACCCATTCTGGTCTTGCTCCCAGGATCTGGACTGAACTGCCCTTCCTCTCCACCTTCAGATACCCCAACACAGGCCTCCTACACCAATGGCACTTTTTTTCCTTGCCTGTCTCCATGTTTCATTCTTTACAGGGAAAGAGACAGAAAGTTTAGCATACTTTCCTCTTTCCATTAGCTGACAATGCTGAGAGGAGAGAGTGGTTCCAGCCAAGCTGTACCAAACAAAAGAGACAAGCAAAAGCTAAATCTGGAAGCCATTGCGGAGCCCTTAACCACACACAGCTGCAGTAAGGAACACATGCAAGCATAGCTGAATTGACATCAACTGCTTATTAAACAAGCCATGACCAACAGATGGGAACACTGCTTTATTATGATAGCCTTCTTCAAATGCTGAATGAACTAGCTTGGAAAATGAGACTGGAAAATGAGTGGGTGCTAAAAATGTGAAATCCTACTGTGGGAAATCCAGCCAATCCACTAGACTGCCAGATGCCACAGCTGTTACACTCTTGAACCCAATTCATAGGAACTACATTTGCCACATAAAAGGATAGAAAATGTGCATTTTCAGAGGTCTCCCAACTACTCCATATTGCCATTTATAGTAATTATCATCAAAATTGCTTCAAGCCACATCTCATTATAAATGAAAAGGAGATTTTGTCTCTGTTAGCTATTATTTGCTAATGCATCAGGCAATGCAGTCTATTATAAGTATCATACCGGTCCTTCACTCCATATTTTTTTTCCAATTTATTTTTTTTACTAGATACAGATTTAGAAAGTTGACTGGGAAATCGCATGTAATGAACATTGATTTTAGAGGTCATGTTCATTATAGAACAGAGAAAAGACTAGAAAGACAGGGAGAAGAATTTTTCTATAGAAAGAGAGATGATTTTTAAAGTATCTATACCAACAATTATTGCAATAACCAAGGATGGAGTTAAGTATCAATGATCTTGCTCCATCAAACAGTATTACTTGAGTTACCTGGACAAAGAGTCATTAGCCCACTAACACTCAGCAGAAATTTGCCAGGCCTTCATTCGCTCTCTGTAAGGGGGGTACTTTTGAATTAGATGATCAATGGAGCATAGAGGCGTGAGAAAGGAATCATATTAGGATGTGAAACCATCTAGAGTATGGTACAATGTAACTTCATGGCACAAGCTAATTGTAAGGTCCATTGTGCCTTTTAGCAAGTCAGCCTGATATCCCCTATTATCAGAGCTGAGTTCTTCCTTGGTTTTGCTACATATTGCAAGATAGATACATCTACCCTTGAAACACAATAGTAGAGGTCATACATGGGGTGAGAAAGATGATGGTGGGAGGAAGATTATGTGGGCAGGGGTCGCTCGCCCCTTGCCCCCACAAGTAGGGCATGCGCAGACTGTTGCCATTAGGTAATGATTAGGCAGTGTTTGGCTGCCATTCAGGCATCACCTTATACTACGTACTGGCCCTACGTAGTATAATGTGGAACTGATAAATATGGGGTGTCAGGATTGCTGAGTTGAGCGATACTCATCCTACCATCAAGACTGTGTTGCTCCGCGGGGACGCCCGCTAAGCATGGGTACCGACCAGCTGCTGCAGATCCTGGTAGCCCTGGCCTGTCTGTGTGGGTAAGCACAGTTTTTGATAGGAAGCAACCGAGAGAACTAACTTTTTAACCTTTTAACCCTTTTAGGTCCCTTTAATTCCCCTTTATTATTGAATAAGTTGTTCCCTTTTACTATCATAGTATTTTTCCTTTAATTTCCCCTTTACTAACCAATATCGTGTTATCCATAATGTAGTGTTAAGATCCCTTTTTTGGCATCCCTTTTATTAGTTAAGATTACACCGTATTGTATGCTGTTTGTAGTATTTGTTTTAAGAACACACGATAAGGTAGTTATTTTGTATCTCTTTAGTTTTTGGTTCTTTCACTAAGTTTATTATTATTATTACTATTTTCACTGTAATAAAGATGTTTTGTGTGTATGAATATCTGTGCACTTGTTTTATTCCGGGCATGTATCCTAACGAACTGTTACACTCTCTTATAAACTTACAGAGCTAACTAACACAGTAAGAGAGGCAAGCATACACATCAAAATAATAATGTTTCAAATATAATAGTTCTGGAAGAAATAAGACAAAATTACACTTCAAGACAATAATGAAGCTAATGTACACTAAATATGCACTAAATAACTAACAAAATTACTTAATCTTTATTCACTTCCATTACTGTTGTTTCCCTCAGTGGGAACAACAGAAATGGGTTCTTGATACCTCTTAACTATCAGAAATACTTTAACTGAGCAAAAATCAAACCACAAACATTCCGAAATGCTCCCTTAATTCATACAGAGCAGCTGTATGTGGAAATACAAGGGTTTATGGAAATAAATGGCTTCATCAACCACCTATATAAGAGCTATGTAGCTGAATCCACATTATCTTGGAGAGCACAAAAATCCATCTCCGTATCTGGCAATGCTCATTCAAGTTCAGGAGAAGTTCCTGATATAACAGATGAATGTACACATGAAGTCAGCAGAACTGTAGGAAGAAGTACTGATTGACACACTGAGTAGTTACGAAACATAGCTCAATCAGACTATTAAATATATACATATATATGGATCTGGACATACGAAGTGACAAGACAAACCTTTGGAAAGAAAATGCAAGAAATACTGGTGGCATTGAATGCTTTTAATGCATTACACACATACACAAATAAGGAAAACTTGTGTATAAATATGAAGAACATGCCTTTACTTCAGGCAAACAGGTTAGGACTATCGATCTATTTCAAAAGTTAAAAGATATCCAAATTATTTGAGTATTTGATATTAAGAGGAAAAGAACATGTGGGAGAATTATAATAATTAATAATGGCCAGTCTTCGTGAACGAAGATTTTGGGGAAAGGTCTTTTACCTTTCCAGCCTGCGCAATGGATTTTTTAGGTGAGACACAGCCTGCGCTGAACTGAGCCCACCCTTTAATCCTAAGGTTCATCTGCCGGGGCCAAGCAAGCTTGGACAATGGCAGTGAGGTCCTCAGGACGTAGGTTTGTTTAGAGTGACCTTCTCATAGATGGATGGCCTCACAGGGCTAACGAGCTCCATCTGCCCGGGGGACTGGGGAATTGAACCTGGGTTGCAGCAATGAGAATCCCGCATGCTAACCACTAGGCCACCAGGGGTCCCTGGGAGAATTATACAGCTTTCAGATAAACCAGTTCTCAGTTTAACAGACTGTCTTAGAAATCTCAAAAAATATAACCTAGTTACCGTAAAAGATATTTAGCTACCAAAGTTGTTATTGCAGGTATTCAAGACATTTCTCTGAGATGCTGACTCTATTTAAAAAAAAAAAAAGCCTTTGTTATAAACAATCAAGAAATAATGAAGTATTGAAAGCAGCTACTAGGAAACCCTGGAAAGGGATCACTCTGATGAACATTGGTGTGTTGGCACATGAAGGACAACAACTGAGATTTCAGAGTTATGCAGGGTCTGAAGATGAAAACAGAATGTTTCACCTTATAATTACTTTTGCTATTTAGGCTCCTGACTTGAATATCCAGCCTTATTTCAACATAATGAAAACTCCATGAAGGGAAAGTCCATTGCTAGATATCTGATATTTTTAATATCTGGTCCATAGAGACTAACTGAATAATTCATTAGACCAGCAGAGCTTTCCAACTTCTCAGCCATGTTACTTAACACTTACATCAATGTAATTAAATATGACTACTACTATGAAAAGTGTTCACCTGTATAGGTGAATCTCACAGATCTGGTGATCAACATATATTGAACTGCCAAGCAGTAAACGTAAGCTAGTAGCTCATACTAAACTGAACCTTGGGTAGAAGGAAAAAACAATGCCAAGCAAATTTGTTTTCTTTATTCTCTTCACTCTTTAAAATGAAATCCAGTATTAACACAGTTAAAATAGGTGTGTATGTCAGAAGTCAAGTAACCCATTTGATATAACTTACAAAATTATATACACAAAGTGCTGTGAAACATTAACATACTACGAAAATGGGCAAATATCTACACCTGAAGAGAATAAATACACAGTCATGTACAGAGATTGCCTAAAGAGGTATCTAATGAAACCCTGTGAAAATGACCATATAGTGTTACTTCATCAACTCACTGACTTTTCCCTTTCTGATAAAACATGGAAGGATATGTAAATGAAAATATATCTAAATAAAAAAAAAAAGCCATATTCAATAGTCACGGTATCATAAGAAGAGGACAGGGTACCCTATTTAGCGTATTTGACCTGCATAGCACCTTGAAGTCTTGTTAGAGTACTATGAGATTATTTGCTAAGTCTAGGCAGGATTAAAATGCCCAGATAACCACTGCTCTTGTTTTATCTTTCCTTCAAGCTGCATGGAATCAGTTACAGGACTTGCTGATCACATTAGCATTATTTCACATTTACTCAGTATCTGCATCTCAAGATGTCCAACAGGAAGGCACCTGGGATAACTGAGCATCTCCAATGAAGCAGCCCTACTTGTGGAGCCGTGCTCTCTCACACAGCTACTGGACAAGGCCAGCACCTCTGTTCTGACCAGGCCACTCCTAAAATGCCAATTATATAATGGGCACCATAATACTCATTATAAGCAATGTAAATGGAATTTGCAGACAGTCTTTAAAAGATGAGTGAGGACATAGAAGAAAAATTCAGAGGAGCCAAATCAAGTTGACTGACAACATTATGATTGAGTGAATCTAATAATCCACTACTTCTGGAGGTAAATAAATAATGAGGATGTTGAGAACATGTTTAAAATGGTACAAGGAGATACACTTAGCAAGTATGGATAAAGTTCTCTTATATTTCCACTGACAATATGATCTTTAAAAAGAAGAGCTGACTGGCATGTATGGCAGACACACACTAGGCCAGGGCTCCACTGCAGAGTGACAGGGAGTACAGATACCAATATCAGCTTTAACTGAGCTAGCTCATACACTAAAAGCAATTTACCCTCTGAAGCACTGAGCTACAGATGCAATAATTTAATATCTGCAATACAGATATTAACACATAACACAAGTAACAAACAGTAGAGGGACTGGAATACATACTCAGTTTATAAGCAGGTACTAAGGTTGGTGTTATTGCATCTTCACTGCTACTACAACTGTTAGGGAAATTATGGTAGCATATGCTGGAACATGCTTAATTCATTTATTGCCTTTGCTGTGAAAACACATGCTGAGAAAGTGTCAAGAGTGGTTTCCAAAGGAGATGAAAGAATTTCATCACATAGGACGTGGGAAAGCAAACTGGGATAACACCTAGAATACTAGTTCCTTTTCTGGGGAATAACCAAAGGCCCATCAGAACTGTTTAATTCCTAACATTTATAATTTTTCAGACCTACTTCTTTACCTCCAAATTCTTCTTTATTACTAGACTGTGAATTTCTTCCTCTCTGTTTTACTTCACTTCTGGAGACAAATATAAGATCATCAAAGTCTGACATCTTCTCCCTGGGATGTCTTTTGTCTACTGCTCTCCTCTTGTTTTTCTTTTTCCCCCTCTTTTCTTCCACAGTACTTTTCTTTGCTTCTTCTCCTCCTTCATCTTCCAGAGGTGACTGAGGATAGGGCTTTGTGGTCTTGCTGTCCAGGCTAGAAAACCACATAAGGAAGTTTGCAAAGCTAAAAGCACATATATCATACTGTCTTAAATCCTTATTACAAGACATAGATTTCACCTTTTTCCACATCTCACAGTACTAACAAGAGAATGACTTATCACACTCTTGACCATTTCATAGGGCTGTAAATGTCTTACAATTCAGTTTCCCTTTTACTTATAAAATAAGTAAACAATAGCCTAAAACAGGGCTCTGGTCCCTAATTCTGTCTCCCTCTTATGATTCCAGAAAGGATTTGGGCAATAATGTTCTTTTAAGGTGTCAGTCCAGATCACACAGTGTTTTACTTTGCTTATGGAACTTGTTAGCTACATTTGCAGAGTGCTTGCTCTGCCATAATTATTTCTTTCTATTGTGATGTCAGAAAAACACCCCAAACAGATACTAGTGCCTGATACTAAAATGCTGAGAGCTATATTAGTACCTCTAAAGATTCATGAATTAAGCATGACTCCTAGTACACACCACAAGAACATCAAAAGACAATCCCAAAGAACTCAGAGCTGGACAAGCTATTTTAATATGTCTATGTGCACTGGAAGCCTGAGCTATGCATTTTAATTTTCCTTCCCTTCCTACTACAGGACTTAGCACAAAAAGATTGTCTCTTTTTGAGCTTTTAATATCATACTGCATTCAAACTTTTTGATTCCTTTCCAATTAAATTATGCTTCCTCTTTGTTTCTATCAACAATGTCAGCATGTTTTCATTAAATTTGTGTGCACCCATCAGCAATATGCTGCACTGTTCCTGTCTAAGTGTGACATAGGAGGTAGGGATCTATTTTAGAATATAATAAATAACAAGTTTCATTAAAAAGCACACTTCGATGCCCTCTTCAAAAGTAGGTGCTTTAATGGAAACTCCATTCAGTGCATTCATTTCAGTCAATTCTCCAAAGAATTCCTCTGTTTTCCAGTGAATAACTCAATGTTCTCATCATTTGTACATAACAATGGCAATTCAGCTTGCTAATAAATTCTGTTTGGAGAGTGAATATTAAATTTTATATTAAAGCACTCAGTCATGAAACAAAGCATGTAGAATGGAAGCTATTCTTATTGCTTATGCACTTAGTCACATCTTTTCTTAATATGGTACCTCATTTAGAATATAATCCAACTTAGTAGAAGGGAAAGACTTCTACTGTTTTTGCTGGAACTCAGATCAGTTATATGCCTGCCTCTTTTCAACTGGTTGTATGCATTAAGTAAGGAACCGTGTTCTTCAGGTTTGCTTTTTAGGGAAAAGAGGCTACCACCATGTCAGTGATCTGGCCTGGGAAAAGGCACTGAAGTATTTCCAGATTTGGAATTCTGCTTAGTAACGGGGAGGCATTTATTGGTTTGTGTGCTGTGGGTGCAACTTGGTAGAAGTTTCAAACTGTTTCAAACAAAGTTTCCACTACTAGAAAATATGTGGGAAATAGGACTTGAATCTTAGTTGCTTTTTGTTCCATCATTCTCAGGGAATCCATAGATCAGCCCACAACTGCTACTCTCACCCATAATTTTTAGATTTAATCTTTAATAATGATAATCATATTAGAACATTTCAATGATAATTAAGAACATCTGCAAGTGACTGTGCACTGGAACAGGTTGCCCAGAGAGGTTGTGGAGTCTCCCTCACTGCAGATATTCAAGAAGCGTCTGGATGCAGTCCTGTGCCATGTGCTCTAGGACAACCCTGCTTGAGCAGGAAGGTTGGACCAGATGACCCTCTGTGGTCCCTTCCAACCTTACCCATTCTGTGATCTAAAATTGCCTTTAGTGGTATAATTTGTCCTTTCATGCCTCCTCTTGGGAATAAACCTCCCATAGCGGAGATTATACGGTTCTTTGGCAGCAGTGCTCATACTACACTGACATACATGGAAGAGGAAATCCGTCATCCTGTGGGATGTCAAGGCACATGGAAGATTCAAAACAAAACTGTGTTTTCTCACACAAAATGTGAAACTTTGCAGCTTCCTCTGGGAAGAAGCTACGGATGGTGAAGGTTTACGTGGGTTCAAAAAAGTAACCGCACAAATTCATGGAAGAAAATTCTGTCAGGGCTGTTTAATACAGAGACTCAGTTCTGCTTCAGAGAATTCTTAAATCACGAATTGCTGTACATTGGGGATGTACTCTGGAGAAATATCCCTAGATGATTGTTCTGATCTTTATTCTCCTTCCTAAGGTTTGTTGTTGCTAACTCTCAGAGGTTGTTGGTGCTCTGAAAGTTATCAGAATTCCATGCTATTTCAAATGGCTTAAACTAGAACTAGAACTTGATGCAAGATGAAAATGTAATCCACAATTACCTGGAACCACTGCATGTTCAGTGCATACTTCACACCAGAAAAATGTTACCCCTGTTGCACATAAGTTCTGCAAAACTTAAATAGGGGCTCATACTCATCCTACACACTCTATCCGCATCATTCCCCAGATTCAAGCCCAGAAGATGAACCACTATCTTAGAAACAACTTGTAATTTAATGTGTAGCTTTATATGACAATAATTATCTTAAAAGGAAAATAAAGTCTACAACAAATAGAAACTCCATCCCACCTTCCAGCAATGCTCTTAACAACTTCCTGGGACTTAGCTTCAAACCATCACATCCCACCAATATTTCCAGAATGAAGATAGGGCAATAAACTGTCAGATAAACTTGGTTGCATGTGTAGAGTAAGACAGATCAGAACAGCTATAGTTAGAGTACTACATACAGAAATCTGACAGCATAGCTGAACTCAGAGTGCAGCATTTAGGATTCATGAAAAAACCTTTATATTTCTAGGTTCAAACATACTCACATTTCATAATCCACCATCTGCACCATTCTTATGTACTGACAGGAATAGGCATACTTTGTTTGGCTGATTTTAATAAGCTCACTTCTTACACAGTGTTCCTGTAATAACACGATCAACATGCATCTAATTTAAATCTGAATCTCAAAACCAAGGAAGATACATATGTATAAAAAGTCAACTGTTTTAATATAACTGCAATCAGCCTTTAATAAGGATAATTAAAAGTTTCAAGTACAAAGTACATTTTTGTAATACGCACTATGAAAAATGCAGTAAAATTATCATAATGGCTAACAAACAAAAACCCAAACAAACAAACATAATGAAATTAATTTCAGACTATAATGACTGTGATAAAATTCCCTGTGTTTCTCATTTTAGCACCATGGAACTTGTGCAAGCCACCAAATAGATTATAGAGGAAAGAACTGAGTACGATTTAAGAATAAATTATCCTACAGAGTTTCTTGATGCAGGTCTATTGTGTGAGCTCTTCACTGAGCTCCAGAATCTGCTTTAATTTGGTTAGCTGGAGACAGGGAATGCGACAGTGAGCTGATTAGCAAGGAAAATTCTATCTGCCTCTTCAAAAACAGAATAATGGTAAAATTATTGCCAGACAGCTCTCATCCTCTAGGTCTACTCACCTTCCTGTTGTTGAACATCAGTACTGTGTAGAGTTTGTTATCTGTTTCCACCCTCTCTGGTGTTGCAATAACAATGGCAGGTACATAATACTCATTTCCTGTCTGTGTCCCAGTTCTGGCAAACACATAGTCTCCAACCTGCACATCAGGAAAGGACCAGTGCAAGAGCCATGTAACTTGTGAGTTTTACAAGACATAAAAGGTAAATAATGAGATACTTTTACATGAATCATCATTCTATCATCTTCCCATGCTTTAATATGGATCTTCGAAAGAAAAGAACTTGGTCCTTGCATGTACTGATCACACAATTGCCACTGAATCGAGAATACAAAATAAAAATAAAGGAGAAAGCCCTACTAAAGGTCCCTGGGCTCAGCTAGCAAGTTGAACTGAATGAGGAAACTCTTGCAACTGTGCATTCCCTTGGACTTCATGCAAATTTTTATGTTTTCAATAAGCTTTTAAACCAACCTTGGGACATTTAGGTAATTCTATATATAACTGACTTATCCAAAATTGTTTTAAAACTTAACACACAAGTCACAATTTTCTATCAAAATCTGCAGATCTCTAGAGTTGGAACTTCCCCTTACAGAATACCAGGAACTACTGTATCAGAATTTGCCTTCATTTCAAACAGGAAAAAAAAAAAAAACAAAATCATGAATCTAGTTTTAAGTGTAACAAAGTAATTATAAAAACGTTTTGCGCACTCAAAATAGCCATATCCATTCTGTATCCTTTCTGTATCCATTCCCTCTCTTGCATGTAAAATAAGAATCACCTGAAAAAACAACTGTGATTACAGATAGTCAGCTGATAAATTTTAAATAAAATCAGAAATTGAATAAGAATTTTATTTTTTTAATTAGTTATTTGCCTTAGTATACAGTTATTTGCTGAATCTAAGACATGCTATGAAAAACAAATGGTTAAAACTTGCTGCACATCACACTATGTATAAAAGGCTCTCTTCGATTTATAATCTATGTGCTAGGAAACAATAATTCTGCTAATAAATAGCTCACCTTTCTTCTATAGCTGGGGAAATATTCATGTTTTATAAAGAAAACAATATAAAATAATTTAGAATGTAGAATTTTAATAAAGAAAGAAATAGGACTACAACAAAAACAAGCTTCAAACAAATGAAAAACAAATGAAAATGTTGAAAGTAGCTATTTGAAAGATAAAAAAAATCTATCCTTTACTCTAGGCCTGGCCAAATAAACAAAATTAAAAATGTCTATTTGCTGTCATAAAAAACCCCAATTTTTCACCTGCAGATGTGGGCATGGCATAGCACCTCCCACAGGTATAGTGAACTTCACAGGTACATCCCAGCTCTCCCCATTGCTGAAGTCAACAAGTGCACAGGTAGAACTGACATTCTTTATCACAGTTCCTAAAAAACAACATAATAAAATATTCAAATTATTTTTCCTTCACCCCTTGTGAAAACTTTTTTTTAAATCCTAAAGGCTGTCACATATCACTGAGGTCAAACGTCATTTAGCGAGGGTAAGCTGTGCTAGGGCACTAGAAAAATTTGTACCTAAAAAAACCTCCCGTCTTACTAGCTACTATTAAGAAATGCTATAAAAATAAAATTAAGAGTCTTTTTCAAGCACAGGTCTGAAATTTGTAAGCTGATCAGGTGGATGAGAGTTGGCATAATGAAACTATTACACGGTTAAAAATATGAAATTGAAAAAAAAACCAAAATAAATAAAGGTAAGACAAAAATAAATACACGAATGATTTTTTCTTAAGAAATTACAGAACTCAATTTTACTTAATAATTCTTGCTTAAAACTCAACAAAAGGTCAGCAGCATTTAGTGAATTTTTTGAACACATGCAAAAGCTTGGCTTTTGCCAAATGATCAACAGAAATATTCAAGGGAGACAGCAAATAGGGATAGTTGATACTCTTGGGTACTCAGTTACTCAAAAGGATTTCCTTACACACTCTTCATATCATTGCTTTCTAACTTTACAAAATGTATGTCTTCTTATAAATGTATATATGTGCTCATACAAAATATATATTCATTTTGCATCAATATACACATACAATGGGACCCCTGGTGGCCTAGTGGTTAGCATGCGGGACTCTCACCACTGCGACCCAGGTTCGGTTCCCAGTCCCCTGGGCAGATGGAGCCCGTTAGCCCTATGAGGCCATCCATCTATGAGAAGGTCACTCTAAACAAACCTACGTCCTGAGGACCTCACTGCCATTGTCCAAGCTTGCTTGGCCCCGGCAGATGAACCTTAGGATTAAAGGGTGGGCTCAGTTCAGCGCATGCTGTGTCTCACCTAAAAAATCCATTGCGCAGGCTGGAAAGGTAAAAGACCTTTCCCAAAATCTTCGTTCGCAAAGACTGGCCATTATTATTACACATACAATATTAAATGTCATGAAGAAAGAAGCAGCTAATAATGACTAAAACTTATGTTTTATCAGCATTAAGAAACACTAAATAAGTGGACAAAAATATATACCTGGATAATAAAATCCTGTGACGTCCGATCTTGCAATTACCTTTTGACTTTTGTGAGTCACAAATATTTGCCATTTTTGTCCTGTCTTAGACTTTGACTTCATAATTGCTTCTTCATGTCTCTGTAATTTGATACAATTATTTTGGCCACAACAGTTAATACAGTCAGCCTTAATCTATTCTTTGGAATTAATTAAAAATTTAGGCAATGTAATGCTATAACCTCTGTAGAAAATACACGGTAAACTATAATTATTTTAAACTTTCAGAATAGCTATAAGTACAGTAAATACTCATGGATAAGTTCATCTAAGACTTTTCACTATAAAATCCTGTTCTAGATGGTCATAACAATACCTATATTTTCATGTGTTCAGGCAGAAATTTACCTTAATGAATTATAGTTCCAACTACCATTTTCCTACACAAAAATTCACAAAGTTGCACAATTCATACTCAAGGATGCGGTAAGCAAAAATCAACTTTTTTCAGAATAAGAGAATTTGCTCTATAGATTCATTTTGTCCAGCTAGGAGAGTCTTCACAAAAATAGAATTTTCATTAAAAGTACCTCACTGTCTGGGATGACTCGTTAAAATTAAAAATTAAAATTTTCAGCAATTTTTAAAAATTCCATTTTAGCAAAATATTATACCACATTTTCCAGAGCTGTAACTGTCTAACATTCTGTCCCACATCATACACTAAATCTCCTCTTTGGGGGGCAGATCCTTTGACTACAGCTCCTCTAACACGCACCACAGCCTCACAGAACACTGGAGTTTACTGCTTAATTGCTCATAAGTCTAGGGTTCCACTTACTGGACAGTGAGAATAAAAATACCAATGGGGGCATCTTGCTGTGGACCGACTCAATTCTTAATTGAAGTCAGTGACTGCCATTAGTAGTAACTGAACGAAGAATGGATCTCACACAACAACTGAGGCAGAGGGCTGTGGGAAATGCAGTATGTCAAAAATAGTCAGACACTCACAAGTGGCTCCATATGAAAATACACTGTCAGGCTTTCTGAGCTTCTGTGTATGTGACTTTACAGTCACCATATTCTTTTACCTTAAAGCCTTTTACATCTCACATTAATATTTTACGGAGTCTCAGTGTTGTTTGTCTTAAAGTAAATCATGTTCCTGAATCTCCTTTTTTCTGGAAGAAAGAATATCTTCCCATTCAGGAAGCTTGCTTATAATAAATCAGTTTCATCATTAAATGAAAATGGTGAAACTGATTTTCACCATTAAAAAAATCAGTTTCACCATTAATTTTTAAAATATTTATTAGCCTACCTCATAAACAATTTGCAAGCATCCGTCTCTTACACAGTTCTTCTGAATCATAAAAATACGCAACTTGAAATCTCAAGATTTTCCACATATCTACATACTGCTCTGCAAAACTATTGTAACTCAGACTCTTTGTAAAACTCCTGCTTGCTAGGGCATGTATGACCTATTTTCTTGACTGGTGACATTTTTCTTCCCAAAAAGATGTATTTGATTTGATGCTTGATTTTCTCTAAAAGTCAATTATGATGGAAAAGATATTAATAACTTTGACTAAATAGTTCGTTCTCAGTTTCACTATAATTATCAGTCTCTTTTTTCCAAACTCCCCCACAAAAATCACAAATAGCCCTAAAAAAAAGTCCTAAAAATAAGCAAAACACACACACACACATAAAGGCAAGGAGATATTTTAAATGGGAGATATATGGGATTTTTCTAGCTTATTTTTTATCCCTATAGAATATTAATTATATCAACAACTCAGTTTTTCAAACTCAGTCTAAACCAGACGCTCTTCACTGCGCTTAACCGACTGCTGGAAGTATAACCCAACAAAGGCTGATTTGATAGCAGACTTACAGTTCCACAGACACAAAAAGGTATTTGGGTAAGCCATTTAGTTAATTCCTCAGGCTTCAAAGGGACAGCTGCTGCTGAATATTTATTATCAACTAATTTGTTATGCTTGACTAACAACTTGGGCAATTTTCCAGCACTCCACATAAATCCAAATACTAAAGATGACACAAGCATCCACAATGAGGGTTCAGAGTCCTGCAGAATTCAGGTGGCTCAGAAACACTGCCTAAATTCAAATCCATCCCTCCTTCCTCTTGCACAGCTCAGACACTGTCATAGTGCCCATTTCTGGCATTCAGTATGTTTATTACAAAAGAGCCCCATCTGATTCTCAAGGATTTTCAGCCTGTTTAACTCTGCTACTGTTGAAGGCAATGCAAAAAAAACACATCAAGTGAAGTAGACTTTGTTTACCTTCCAATAGCTGCTACATTTTTAATTCCCTTTCAAAAAATTAGGTTTTGCCATTTCCTACTACAAGTGAGAATGGATAAGAAGACTATCCACAGATCTCCATGTATCTTGGCTTGAACTTTGGCTTTTCATAATCCTGACACCTCAGAGCCAAGCAACCACTGCTTTTCCCAGGTTGTCAGTGACACCAAACCCATTCTGCATAGACCACAGCCAATTTTTATGAAAGAGCCTATCTTCTTGTACCTACATGCTGTCTGTTCAGCAGGTACTTCACTGATGACAAAGGAAAATTTCACCCAATATTTCTTTGTAGTTATAACTCTTTAGTTGTGCTATTTGGGATGCTTGTTTTTACTTTGTCTCCCTAAAAGAGACACAAGAACAAAGAGAGGAGATGCCAAGCTGTTTGGGAAACATATGAATGCAAAAAAAGGTATCACCAGAGAGAGATTAGTGATCCTTAAATAGTGAGGAAGAATGAGGAGCATAAGAAATAGGACACCAGGATATAAAAGGGAGATCCAGAATTTCCATTCTTACAAAGAATCGAGTCTTGGCTATAAATATTGCATTAGGAATAATTAAATCAACTGTATATGAAATACATTTTTCAGAAAGAAGAGACTCAGTGAACCACTAGAGGTCCCTTTCCACCCAAATAAACATGCTTTACAAAATTATGCTTATTAACTATTTTAAGTTATTTTTAATCATATGGTGACTATTCAGCAGGATCACAAACAAGTGTGAGCCTTACACATTCAAGGTCATCCTAAGGAAAACACAGTACTTTTAAAAGTATATTCTTAATGAAAGTTAAGCAATGAATGCAACTTTATTTCTCTGCAAAATCTGAAATCCACCCCTATGCAAAACCAAAAATATTTAGTATGAGAAGGAATGTTCTCCATCATGCCCAAAGGCCAGATTACAACACTGGAGGAAGAAACATTTTACATTAAATTGTTAAGCCATTAACAGAAAGCACCAAACTATCCTGGAATCTATCACACTTCAACAATAGAAACGCCATGACCACAGTAAACCTGAAATTGTCTAATGAGAGGTGGGTAGGGGACCCTGAACAATTTTTTTTTAATGTCACATAATGTTGTAAACAGTTTTATAATTCAGTGAGGAAAAAAAAGCGCTAAAAAACTGGTGAATGACTGTTATGCCTTACAAGATCAAAACAGAAAACAAAATATTTTAAGTCAAAGCAGTTACTTATTAGGAAAAAATCAAACCAAAGTAAATGATACCTTTCTCATTTTCAGTATCTTAGATGAAAGCTGAGTGCCAGCCTGAAGAGGGAGACTTGTGTCAACTCATGCTTTAATCGGTATAGCAAAAAGAACTGAGTAAACTGAGTATAATACAGTCTACAATTAGCCCTCCAACCAGGTAATCATCAATGTTCAGTGTTCTATATTTTGCCCGATAATAACTAAATGTGTTTGCTCATTTCCTAACGCATTTACTTCTTGCATCACTGGAGGTCTTTGGTCATCTCATGGCCTCGTGCAGGTGGATGTCTGCTTCATTCTCTTCCAATAAGGCACTGGCACAGCCTACCTTTCACAGATGTGCCCAAACAAAGCAGCCTGAACACAGCTCCCAGAGAAGGTCGGAGCACAGAGGGAGGATAACTAGACCACTAATTCAGTCGTAGGCTTAAATAGAAAGCTCTCATAGCAAGGACATCCAAAAAGGATTACTAATTCTTTTAAGAAATTGTGTAGGTAATTCAGAACCCGTAAAAGCTAAAAACTAAGGGGTTTTATTCTAAATTCAGTGAAAAAAAGCAGGAAGAAATTCATAGGTCTGTCTTGTTGAGTAGGGCTCCAGGATAATGGTGATTTTTCTACCCCATCTGACAATGATAATTTTCATTCAGTGCCATATCAGCTATTTCCTTGTTGTAACGTATTTCAGCTGGCTGTTTATTTCTTTATACTCATTTTGTAGACAGACATCACAGCTGGCAAAATCTCCTTTTTAAAGGCTCCCCAATTTTTAAAATTTTTTTCACTGTTTTTCTATCACATAAACAGAATTCTAATTACATCTGCATTTCTGCCTCTCACTCTTAAAGCCTTTCAGTTGTAGATTAGCAATTACTGAAGATGCTGCTCTGATTAGACTCTTAAAGCGGGTTGACTCAGGATAAGTGATTGCACAATGTTAATCACATCATGTCTGAGAGCACACATTGGTTGTTCCAAGGCAACAGCAAAATTACAGTCAACAAATGAAACGTGAACATGTTTTTGCTGCTCTTGTATTGGACATTATATAGTAGAGGAAAATCAATAATCAAAATAGCTGTATTAGCAATATAATATTTTCAGACTAAAGTAAAATGAATCATCTGTTTTTTTAAGATATTAAAATGTTTTCAGATGTACTTAATGCAACAAAAAACTCAAAAACTATAGAAAACTGAAAGTGATCCTTTCCATAATCACTTATTTTCATATATGGCCTGAGCTATCATAATACATTTTATACAATGTCTGAGCTATCATAATATATTTTATACAATTTAACAAAATTTATTTTTTATAACTTATGTCATAGGATGTAAAAGGCCACAACTTATTGAGAAAACTGTGGTTGCTCTTTGTGGAAAAAAAAGTTACATCTCAGTCAATGAATGTCAAATAAAACAAAATACTTTTGTTATATTCTGGTACACAGTGAATAGGGATACTTGGCATAATTTACAGTTTCAAATTCCAATTGTACATTCTCATTCATTGCTGAGCATTCACACTATAGGTTTGTACCATGACCATTTGAGTTTCACTTACATTACCTCTTTAAACTGATGTATCTATGTCTGTATACGGATTTGTATATGTTTACATGCATACCTTGGGACATAAAATAACTATGATGAATATTTGATTATGCTTCTTACATAATACAAAGCATAGGACTTCCCTCAGTATTCACTGCAACTAGGTCAACCACATGGTAGCTTCCCTCACTCAATTATATAAAATAATGAACAAGAAAAGGAATATATTAATATATGAGCTTTATAATTAATTATCTATTTGTTTTTCCTTATTCTCTATTAGAACTTGGAAGTCTGAGGAAATATTTTCTTTCTTGTTTTTTTCCTAGAGAGCTGATTTTAATATTATCATAGTATTACTCCACCAAGACAGCACTTCTGCAGAGGCAGCAGGACTCCCAGGGAAGCACCGTTTGATGAAGCTTTAAGATGAAAAAACTTGAAACTGAATAAGAGAAACGTTTTGGTTTTTTTTCAGAGCTAAGTACTGTGAATTTCAAAGCATCAATAGTGTATTCAGAAATCTTTCCATTGGGGAAGATTAAATCACTTTTCAAAACTCTAAAATGAAAAAGTATATTCTCTTTTCCAATAGGGCAGGCTGACTAACTTTAATTTTATACCTATTGCTTCATGTATTTCCGTACTTGTTTCATTACACCTCTCAATAGCATTCCAAGTAATGTTCATCTGCGACATACACACACATATATACATATACATATATATATATACATATATATATATATAAAATCACAAACTTCAATAACATTTTCAGAGTAGCTAGACTACTGTTTTATTGCTAGACTAATATAATAATGAAATGGAGAGAGCACTCTGCCTTGCCAAAAAGTGGGTGTCTGCTTCAGCATGAGCTCCAGATGCCACTGACTCAGTTCACAAGGCTGTGAGATTGGCCACCAGTTCATGTATATCCATATTTCATGGACAGTTAAATTTTAGTTAAATTTCTCTCCATCTTTTGTTTTACAAGAAAGATACCATAGGAGATTATAGTGAATTACTTCAACATTACAAGATCTTTTAGTCCTCATCAGATATTAACCCAACCAAATCTTATATAATTGCCTGTAACGTATCTGTTCTTCCTCTGCTGTTGTTGCAGAGGATGCTTTGCTCCAATTAATTTCTTAGAGGCTTGATTTCTGTGGTTCTCTCAACTTCAGAACTTCTGTATCCCCAGTGCTTCAAACAAGTCATTGAAAGCTTGCTCTCTTTTTAACTACCCTCTTTCCTCTATCCATTTTATTTAGCATCATGCTAAATGTCTGGTTTATCAGCTATAATCATGGAACAAAATTATTCCAGAAGAACGTACTGAAGAGGAATATCTAATGAGAAAAAAATCCCTTCCAACATATTACCTTTTTATTGTTGCTTATGTGTGATTCGGAGCTTTTCTCAGTTTCCTTTTTGACAGCTTCCTGAAGATCAGAGGCTTGTTGCATATATGTTAATGCTGCCAGTATCTCATCTTCTAGCAATTTTACATCTTCATAGGAAATTGGCCATCCCAAATTCTCTAAAGCCTCCAGCAAAGCTTCTTTATGCCGCATATACTGGACTGGCCCATCCTCTTTAAATCTTAAAAAAAGTATTTAAAAAAATTAATTATCACAAGTAGAAAAATTTTAATTATGTCAGTACTTTACAGATAGAATCACAAAGCATAAAGGCAGGATAAAGCATCAGATTCATCCAATATATCTTTTGTATGCCACAAGTTCTTGCATTTCATCCAGATACTGTTGTGTCTGGTCAGACAATCATATCTGGCTTAACTGTATCTCATACAAAGACATCTACAGAGCAATTCAAGTGGCTGGGCATAGATGCCTGGTGTCATTTCAGATGTCCTAGAATATGTGAGGCATCAACAAAGAACTTGTAGACACAACTGAGAAATCATTAAAACCCCTGGACTTTTGGAAGAGCAGGTAGAATGAAGTGGAAAGTATGTAAACAACCTAAAATGGCACCTGACAGATACTAAGTCCTGATTTGCTACAGGAATCTGGACTGATCACATAAAAAGAGAGAATCCCCTACTATTTTTAACTCTGTCAGTCCTGCACTGCTCAATTTCACTCAGTGACCAGGAGTTTGCTTCCATCCACGGTTCAGATTATGCCAATGTCCACGGGACTAAGCAGCCAGTTTGAAGCCACCCACCAAAGGTACTTACAAAGGTGAAATAGATACAGTCATCTTGTTGATTAAAAAACCCAAAGAAGCTGAACCTTCTAAAATCCAGAAGAGGTAGAACTCTTTACGTCTTCAGTTGGAAGTAACATAATTCTTTTCAGTCCTTTTAGCTTTTTTGTGGCTCTTCTCTACAGCTTTATCAACATGTAAAAAAACCCATGAAGCCTAGAACTAGGGAGAGTATTGAAGTGTCTGCCTTATCAACACATGCAACCACAGTGATGCCTATCACATTGCCATACTCTTTGTCACTGCTTATCTCTCTACTCCTCTAGGAACTGTTTCGTATTGAAATTAACCTGACCAGTATAATTATTTACCTAGATTTTTTGTCTCTATTTCCTGAACCCATCATTAATTCATAACAAAGCTAATATCTCCTGAGTTGGATCTCTCAAACACTTTGAACACAAGCACAGTATTACCACTTCTCTAGTGAATTTGAATTTCCCTAGTATCTGAGGTAGCATTTTAATACACACTAGCAAACCAGAAGGCTCCTCAATCAATAGTTTCAGGACTCCTGTGACCAAGTTACTAGACTTTGTTTATTACTCTCTCTTTTCAGATTACTAATTTTGAAAGTATGTTGTCATTCTTCTGTAGCACATGAACCTGGTCATTCAAATTGTAAACTTAGAAGATAAATAGATCAAATATTTCAACATCTATGCACCAATATTAATGATTTAATATGCCCCTCTAGCAGACTGTACAATTGCTAAGACTTTTTTTTTTATTATGTGCACAATTGGCCATGTTACCAATAATGAGATATTTTTGATGACACTCTGTCAAGTTTGTATACTGTACAACTCATTGTTTATCTATTTCCTTCTTTTTTTCACAATTATATGTTGTTCTGTTGTTTAGAAGTCTTGATTTCATCTCTGCACCAGAACAGGGTTTTA